CTTTTGTGTGTGTGTGTGTGACTCACCTTTACATGTATGCACCCTCTGCCCCGGCACTGCAATCCTAATCCTGGTCTGGTGTGGAGGGGAGAGCCCAGGGCAGCAGGGGGCAGAGGGAGAGTGAGCTGGATCTGCACTCACCCCACAGCATCCTGTTCCATGGGGCTGGGCCTGGCTTCCCATTCTGGGCATTGCAACCAGGCACTGTGGTCTCAACACCACTCAGGTTTTGCCCAGCAGCCCCTCTCTCAATCCCTAGGCCTCCTCTCCCCACCAGGTCAGGAGAAGTATATGTATGACTAGGTCAGGGCCCAACCCGGGACATGGCAACGCATCTACAACCTTCCCGCGACCCACTGGTGGATGAGGACCTGCCATTTGGGAAACACCGCCATAGGCTTTGGGTGTCCTCTGAAACCTTCTCATGAACAGGGTTACACAGTGTAGCTTATCTGAAACAACCTATAGGCCTTCACCTTACATAGCCTTCAGATGGGAAGGCAGGGCCCAATCTTGCAAACACTGATGCATATAAGTGATTTTCCTCAATTACATGCACATATGTTTGCAGGATTGGGCCCATAATGCCAATTGTTTAAAGGCATTTAGGCACTTAAAGATGCAGATAGGTGCCTGGGGGTGCCATGTGACTTAGGCACCTAGGCCCAGATTCACAAAGGTGCTTAGGCATCTAACTCCCAGACACCTAAATCCCATTTTTAGGTGCCACTGAGATCCACAAAGCACCCATGTGGCTGTCATCTAACCTGTAAGCGACCAAACTCATTCAGTGCCTAAGTTGTTGTGGTACCTATGCACCTATATTTCTGCCTCAGCGCATGCACAGTGCTTCCTCACTCTGGACATCCAGGTGCCTATTTCCCAACTAAACCCCAGTGCAATCCATGAATCTGGGGGTAGGCCCTGTAACTGTGCCTTAGTGGGTCACAACTGAGGATGCCAAATTCAGGATGAACTGCTGAGAAATAGGGTAAACACAGCCCAAAACTGGTGGTTATTCTTTTATAAGATATACCAGACCAGCCACAAAAGTAAACTCCTGTTCACCACACAGGCTAACAAGAAAACATAAAGGCAGTTTCCTCAGGCATTCCAGTTCTTATATCACCACCAAAAACACTGGATTCAGAGATGAATGGTTCTTTACAACCAGTCTCATCAAATAATAGGTTCTTCTGATCCCAAAGGACCAGCCACACACCCAGGTCAATATATAACTTAGATCTTACCCAAAAATCACGCTGGTGCCAATCCTTTAGTATCTAAAATCTAAAGGTTTATTGAAAGAAAGAAAGAAAGAAAGAAAGAAAGAAAGAAAGAAAGAAAGAAAGAAGGTGAGCATTAAAATTGGTTAAAGGAATCAATTACATACAGTAATGGCAAAGTTCTTGGTTCAGGCTTGTAGCAGTGATGGAATGAACTGCTGGCTTAAGTCAAGTCTCTGGAGTACATCCACAGCTTGGATGGGTCATTCAGTCCTTTGTTCAGAGCTTGTTTGTAGCAAGGTTCCTCCAGAAGTAAGAACTATGGGATATTCTGGTTTGGGTCTCCTCAGTTTCTCCTGCTGAAGTTGCTCCACTATAATTAAATGTTAATTGGGCAGAGAAAGAATGAGACTCCCTCTGTAGTCCAGAGGTTAGAGCACTCCCCTGAGTGGTGTCAGATCCCTTCTCCTTATCAATAGAGCCAGTGTTTTTCAGCAATGAAAACACAGTAATTTTAGATTTTCAAAGCTGTATATTTCAGAAATTTTGGATATGCGTTATAGTAATATAAAAATATCGTATTTCATTGTAATACTGAAGGCTAAAGCCAGCTGTTCAGTGGGGTGGGGGACAGACGCTGGGCACTGAGGGCTAAAGCCAGCTGTGTGCTGGGGACAGGAGCCATCTGTGTGCTGGGGAGATGAGCAGGGAGAGGCACTGTGGACACTGCCGAGAGCAGGTGTGAGGGCCGTCCGCTCTGCAACATGGCAAGGGAGCCTGACATGCTGCTGCCAAGTGCCCTGCCCGCCCAGGGGAAGCTCCACGGCGGTTTTGCCAAGCCCAAGTCTGTGTGAGGAGGGGAGAAGTTGGCAGCAAGTCTCAACAGCAGCCAGCCCCCAGCCTCTGCCCTGCATCCTGAGGAGAAGTCAGGTGTCTCCAGGGGCGCCGGATTTCTACTGCATTAATAGCCTAACGTCAGTTAATAACTAGCCCAAACATAGTCCAATGTGTTTATAGAAACAAAGTAGGGAGTTTTGGAAGGGGGTGCGTATACTGGGAGAGGGTATTTGCGGGGGCGCTGGAGGAATTATTTGGGGGGGTACTGGAGGGGTGTGTGTACTGGGAGGGAGTATTTGGGGGGTTTCTAGAGGAAGTAT